AGGCAGGGTGACCCAAAAAAGAAAGAAAATCCCCAAAAAGAAAATACTTTCATCATCATTCAACACTTTCACCACACTCACACATTATCACTGCTTTTGCAGAGGTGCCCAGAATACAACAGTTTAGAAGCATATACGTATAAAGATACACAACATATCCCTCCAAACTGCCAATATCCCAAACCACTCCTTTAAAGTGCAGGCATTGTACTTCCATTTCCAGGACTCAAGTCGACTATATGAAAATAACCGGTTTCCCTGAATCCTTACTAAATATTACCCTGCTCACACCCCAACAGATCGTCAGGTCCCAAGTTCTTTCGTCTCCATTCACTCCTATCTAACACGCTCATGCACGCTTGCTGGAAGCCCAAGCCCCTCGCCCACAAAACCCCCTTTTAAACCCCCTCTTCCAAACCCTTTCGAGGACGACCCCTACCCCTCTTTCCTTCCCCTATAGATTTATATGCTTTCCATGTCATTCTACTTTGACCCATTCTCTCTGAATGACCAAACCACCTCAACAACCCCTCTTCTGCCCTTGACTAATGTTTTTTATTAACTCCACACCTTCTCCTAATTTCCACACTCCGAATTTTCTGCATAATATTTTACACCAACATTGCCCTTAGACGGGACATCTCCACTGCCTCCAACCGTTCCTCGCTGCTGCATTTACCACCCAAGCTTCACATCCATATAAGAGTTTTGGGTTTACTACTATACTTTCATACATTCCCTTCTTTGCCTCCTTAGATAACGTTTTTTGACTCCATATACCTCAATGCACCACTCACCTTTTTTCCTCATCAATTCTATGATTAACCTCATCCTTCATAAATCCATCCCCCAAACACGTAAAACTCCCAAGTATCTGAAAACATTCACTTCTTCCCATACTCCTCCTCCCCAATTTGATATCCAATTTTCTTTATCTAAATCATTTGATCCCCTCATCACCTTACTCTTTTCTATGTTCACTTTCAACTTTCTACCTTTACACACATTCTCAAACTCATCCACTAACCTTTGCAATTTTTCTTTAGAATCTCCCATAAGCACAGTATCATCAGCAAAAAGTAACTGTGTCAATTCCCATTTTGAATTTGATTCCCCATAATTTAATCCTACCCCTCTCCCGAACCCCCTAGCTTTTTACTTTTTTTTACAACCCCATCTTAAATATATTAAACAACCATGGTGACATTTACACACCCCTGTCTAAGACCTACTTTTACGGGAAGTATTCTCCCTTCTTCACACACCCTAACCTGAGCCTCACTATCCTCATAAAAGCTCTTTACAGCATTAGTAATTTACCACCTATTCCATAAACTTGCAACATCTGCCACATTGCTCCTCTATCCACTCTTATCATATGCCTTTTCAAAAATCCAAAATGAAATTTAAAACTTCCCTACCTTTATCTAAATATGTTCACATATATGCTTCAATGTAAACACTTGATCAAACACATCCCTACCCACTCTGAAGCCTCCTTGCTCACCGCAATTTACATTCTGTCTTCCCTCTAATTCTTTCAATTAAACCCTACCTTTATACTTTTCCTGGTATATCATTTAAACTTATTCCTCTATATTTTTACAATCTCTTTTGCCCCCTTTCCCCCTTTTATATAAGGGACTATACATGCTCTCTGCCAATCCTAGGTACCTTCCCCTCTTTATACATTTTTTAAAACAAAAGTACCAACCACTCCAACACTATATCCCCCCTGCTTTTAACATTTCTGTCATGACCCCATCAGTTCCAGCTGCTTTACCCCCTTTCATTCTACGTAATGCCTCACGTACCTCCACCACACTTAAAATTCTGCTCTTCTTCACTCCTAAAAGATGGTATACCTCCCTGGCCAGTGCATAAAATTACCCCCTCCCTTTCTTCCTCAACTTTTAAAAAAGTTCCTCAAAATATTCTCGCCACTCCCTTTAATTACCTCCCCTCCCCATCTACTAACTCCCCTACTCTGTTTTTAACGGGACAAATCCATACTTTCCTAGGCTTTCTTAACTTGTTTAACTCACTCCAAAATTTTTTCTTATTTTTTATTAAAATTTCTTGACAGTGCCTCTCCCACTCTTTCATCTGCTTCCTTTTTCACTCTCTCACCATCTCTTCACCTTTCTTTTACTCTCCATATACTCTGCTCTTCTTATAACACTTCTGCTTTGTAAAAACCTCTCGTAAGCTACCTTTTTCTTTTATCACACCCTTTACTTCATCATTCCACCAATCACTCCTCTTTCCTCCCGCCCCCACCCTCCTATAACCACAAACTTCTGCCCCACATTCTAATACTGCATTTTTAAAACTATTCCAACCCCCTTCAACCCCCCCCACTCATCTTTGCACTAGCCCCCTTTCTGCCAATGTCGCTTATATCTCGCCCGAACTTCCTCCTCCCTTGTTTTATTAAAACTTTCACCCCCCCTCTTACTTGTTGTTGCCACCTTCCTCTTTTCCCATCTACCTCTTACTCTAACTGTAGCTACAACTAAATAATGATCTGATATATCAGTTGCCCCTCTATAAACATGTACATCCTGGAGCCTACCCATCAACCTTTTTTCCACCAATACATAATCTAACAAACTACTTTCATTACGTGCTACATCATACCTTGTATATTTATTTATCCTCTTTTTCATAAAATATGTATTACTTATTACCAAATTTCTTTCTACAATAGCCAATTAAAGGCTCCCCATTTACATTTACCCCTGGCACCCCAAATTTACCTATACTCCCTCCATACATTTTTACCCACTTTAGCATTGAAATCCCAACCACCATTACTCTAACACTTGATTCAAAACTCCCCACACATTCACTCAACATTCCCAGAATCTCTCTCTCTCCTCTACACTTTTCTCTTCTCCAGGTGCATACACACTACTATAACCCCCTTTTCACATCCAATCTTTATTTACTCCACATAATCCTTGAAAATTTATGCATTTGTAGTCCCTCTTTTCCTGCCATAGCTTATCCTTTTAACATTATTGCTACTCCTTCTTTAGCTCTAACTCTATTGAAAACCCCTGACCTAATCCCATTTATTCCTCTCCATTGAAACTCTCCCCCCCCCTTCAGCTTTGTTTCACTTAAAACCAGGCATCCAGTTTCTTCTCATTCATAACATCCACAATCATCTCTTTCTTATCATTTGCACAACATCCACGCACATTCAGACTTCCCACTTTGACAATTTTCTTCTTCTTATTCTTTTTTGTAATCTTTACAGGAAAAGGGGGGTTTCTAGCCCCTTGTTCCCGGCATTTTAGTTGACTTTTACAACACCATGGCTTACAGAGGAAAGATTCTTATTCCACTTCCCCATGGATATAAAAGGAAAAGTAATAAGACCAAGAACTATTAAGATAAAATCAAAGAAAACTCAGATGAGTGTGTATAAATAAACGTGTACATGTATGTGTAGTGTGACCTAAGTGTAAGTAGAAGTAGCAAGACATACCTGTAATCTTGCATATTTATGAGACAGACAAAAGACACTAGCAATCCTACCATCATGTAAAACAATTACAGGCTTTCATTTTACACTCACTTGGCAGGACGGTAGTACCTCCCTGGGTGGTTGCTGTCTACCAACCTACTACCTACAATGTATATGTGTATATATATTATAGAACAATAGTAATAAACAATTTTTTGTATTGTTTGTTTTTGTAAACAAGTTTTGTAAACAATATATTGATAATTATGTTTGTGTGCTTATTGTGTTGTATACAATGAGTGTATATATGTACATTGCACCTTACTTTGGTCTCATAGGCCACATAAGTTATGTGAAAAAATAAAATAGTGAAAAAAACAAAAAACCTTCAAATACAAGGAAACTAAAGTTTACCGGGTGAACGGCGTTGCCGCTGTTGCCATACGCGGCTCATTTCCTGCAAACTTCACGGCTCTATATCTCGGTAAGTACTGATGGCAAAAAAATTTTTTTGGACTAAAACACTCAGAAAAATAATCTTAACATTTTCATAAGAAAAAATAATTTTTTTTTTTCGAATATTTGGCGACATAGAATGACAGTTTCAGAGAGGGGCCTGAAACAGTCAAAGGGTTAATACAGCAACCCTTGGAGCATTGTAAACAAATTTAGCCCATAGATTATGTTAAAAATATGAATCAAACATAGAGAAAAATATTAAACACTGAAATATTAACAATTAGACATTAAACAAATTAGAGGTAAGACAGAGAGCAAGATCACAGATGAACAAGGAGGCTCTACAATGGGTAGGGAATGGGTAGAACAAGTGTTTACATTGAAGCATGTAAGTGAACAATATTTAGATAAAGGTAGGGAAGTTTTCATTGCATTTATGGATTTAAAAAAGGCATATGATAGGGCAGATAGGGAAGCATTGCAGCAGATGTTGCAAGTGTATGGAATAGGTAGTAAGTTACCAAATGCTGTAAAGAGTTTTTATGAGGATAGTGAGGCTCAGGTTAGGGTGTGTAGGAGAGGGAGATTACTTCCCAGTAAATGTAGGCCTTAGATAGGGATGTGTAATATCACCATGGTTAACATACTTATAGATGGGGTTGTAAAAGAAGTGAATGCTAGGGTGTTGGGAGAGGGGTAGGATTAAATTATGGGGAATCAAACACAAAATGAGAGCTGACACAATTACTTTTTGCTGATGATACTGTGCTCTTGGGAGATTCTAAAGAGAAGTTGCAAAGGTTAGTGGATGAGTTTAGGAGGGTGTGTAAAGGAAGATAAGATAAGATAAGGTGAATGAAGGTATCAAAGAAGTTAGGTAAAGAAAAAATGGATATCACACTGGAGGGAGGACTTATGGAAGAAGTGAATGTGTTCTGATATTTCAGAGTAAACTTGTCAGCGGATGGGTGTATGAAGGACAAGGTAAATCATAGAACTGATGAAGAAAAAAAGGTGGGTGGTGCACTGAGGAATCTGTGGAGACAAAGAATGTTATCCATGGAGGCAAAGGGAATGTATGAGAGTATAGTGGTACCAACATTCTTATATGAGTGTGAAGCATGTGTTGTGAATGCTGCAATGAAGAGGAGGTTGGAGGCAGTGGAGATGTCATGTTTAAGGGCAATGTGTTTATCTGGAGTTTACCTGGAGAAAGTTCCGGGGGTCAACGCCCCCGCAGCCCGGTCTGTGACCAGGCCTCTTGGTGGATCAGAGCCTGATCAACCAGGCTGTTACTGCTGGCTGCACGCAATCCAATGTATGAGCCACAGCCCGGCTGGTCAGGTACCGACTTTAGGTGCTTGTCCAGTGCCTGCTTGATGTGGTGTAAATATTTTGCAGAGAATTTGTAGTGTGGAAATCAGGAGGTGTGAAATTAGTAAAACTATTATTCAGATGGATGAGGAGGGCATGTTGAGGTGGTTTGGTCATTTAGAGAGGTTGGAGCAAAATAGGATGACTTGGAGGATGTATAACTCTCTAGTGGAGGGGAGGAGGGGTAGGGGTTGTCCTAGGATAGGATACAGGGAGGGGGGTTTGGACATACAGCAAGCATGTGTGAGTGTGTTAGATAGGAGCTGTTGGAGTGTCAGCAGGGTAATATTTTGTGAAGGGATTCAGGAAAATTGGTTAGCCAGACTTGAGTCCTGGAGGTGGGAAGTATAATGCCTGCATTTTAAAAGAGGGGTCTGGGATATTTTCTGTTTGGAGTGACAGAACCTTCAAAACTAGGGAGGCCAAGCCCATGATGACACTCTTCAGGTCACTTGTTCTATCTAGGCTGGAATATTGCTGCAAACTAACAGCACCTTTCAAGGCAGGTGAAATTGCTGACCTAGAAAATGTACAGAGAACCTTCACGGCGCGCATAACGGAGATAAAACACCTAAATTACTGGGAGCGCTTGAGGTTCCTAAACCTGTATTCCCTGGAACGCAGGCGGGAGAGATACATGATTATATACACCTGGAAAATCCTAGAGGGACTAGTACCGAACTTGCACATGAAAATCACTCACTACGAAAGCAAAAGACTTGGCAGACGATGCAACATCCCCCCAATGAAAAGCAGGGGTGTCACTAGCACGTTAAGAGACCATACAATAAGTGTCAGGGGCCCGAGACTGTTCAACTGCCTCCCAGCATACATAAGGGGGATTACCAACAGACCCCTGGCAGTCTTCAAGCTGGCACTGGACAAGCACCTAAAGTCGGTTCCTGACCAGCCGGGCTGTGGCTCGTACGTTGGTTTGCGTGCAGCCAGCAGCAACAGCCTGGTTGATCAGGCTCTGATCCACCAGGAGGCCTGGTCACAGACCAGGCCGCGGGGGCGTTGACCCCCGGAACTCTCTCCAGGTAAACATCTGAACTGTCATATCTGCACACCTCTGCAAAAACAGTGATTATGCGTGAATGATGGTTAAAGTGCTGAATGATGATGAAAGTGTTTCTTTCTTTTCTGGGTCACCCTGCCTCGGTGGGAGACAACCACCGTGAAAAAAAAAAAAGATAACAGAGGGAGATGCAGCTCTAAAATGCAGTAGTACGAGAATGTATAACACATAACAGAAATACGGAACAAAATTCGCTTGGTCAATTAATTTGTAGACAACAGATAAAGTCTGGTGGGTAAAGAATTAATGGTAATTGTTAAAAGACGGGAAAACAACTGCCTTTCTGCTGATAGAATCACCACTACCAACCACCCACTTCTCCTATTAGTCCACTAACTCAAAGGTTCACTCTATATGCAAACAGAATAACAATATATGATAGAGAATAAGGGTACAAAAAAAAATTTAAGCATTAATTGAAAAATAAAAGGTAATAAAACACAGACAAAGCAAGAGATAATTATTACTGAACAGTTTTATGAAAATGCTTACTCTCCATTCTTCCTCGTGTTGCTCTGCAAACTGCTCAAATAGTTTTACAATAACAGCAGCATTTGAACAGTCATAAACATATATGGAAGGTGCGCCCATCCATGTCTGTAGTTCATAAATGGATAGTGGTATATACTGGGTATAACTCTGAAAATTTAGAGAAAGATTAATCATACAAAACAGTAAATAACAATATACGTACATATAGTGTACATGTTAGGTTCAAATGACACTCGTAAGAAAGAATGACCAGACAGGAATCCGATTTCAATGTGGAATGGTAATATGTACATTCTGAACAAAATTCTATTGTTAGTTTTGAATTCAGATAGTGTGTGCCAATTAAAAAGAAAATGGGCATCTTAAAAATACTAGTGCATAACTAAAGTTATCTGTAATACGACCTTCAGCAAAAATATTGTAATTTAAAGTCAAAGCAACAGCATGACTACATATTAACCCATTTCTCTTTGCCTTATGAAAGACATCTTAGTATACAGCAAGAACTGTGGGTCAAAATACAATTTACTTAATTTACTGATATATACTTTTGTCAGAACACAACATACCTTATTGAAAACCCATATTTCACCATTTGTTGTTGGCTTGGGTACCCCATGACCATTGTAGTGGAAGAGTACTCGTTCTTCCTTTGCATTTCTCCTTAAGGACATACATAACTTCTTAACATCATCAACTGTGGGGTCAAGGGATTGTTTGTAGCGAGCTCGAGGCTGCCAGCGCTCATACGATTTCTGGAGGCTGTTTCCAATGGCTTCAATAGCCTTTGCAGGTGGCATGGACAGTGGATCTGCAGAGAATTCAATAGATTTTGATACATATATACATACTGTTTATCACATCTGCCATGCATATACTTCTTCACCTTTCAACACACCGACCGTATCCCACTGAGGCAGGGTGGTCCAAAAAGAAAAATGAAAGTTTCTCTTTATAAATTTAGTAATGTATACAGGAGAAGGGGTTACTAGCCCCTTGCTCCTGGCATTTTAGTCGCCTCTTACGACACGCATGGTTTATGGAGGAAGAATTCTGTTCCACCTTCCTGGAGATAAGAGGAAATAAACAAGAACAAGAACCAGTAAGAAAAAAGAAAACCCAGAGGGGTGTGTATATATATGCTGGTACATGCATGTGTAGTGTGACCTAAGTGTAAGTAGCAGTAGCAAGATGTACCTGAAATCTTACATGTTTCTGAGACAGAAAAAAAGACACCAGCAATCCTACCTTCATGTAAAACAATTACAGGCTTCCATTTTACACTTACTTGGTAGGACGGTAGTACCTCCCCAGGCAGTTGCTGTCTACCAACCTACTATCTATCCCATACATATACCTGTGTTATATATATGCTAATGGTTACTCTACAGCATTATTTAAAATTTTAGAAAATTTCATGCATTACATACAGTATTACAAAACAGCTGTTTTTTTTATTACAGTGCAGTTGATTTTATATATTAAAGTAGTAATATACCAGCAAAAAAATATTGTACAGAATAGGCTTTTCTTTCTCAATCAAGCAATCAATATATTTTACACATCCTTTGAATCCAAAGATGAGGAACAGGACAATACTCGATTATTCTTTCATGTAGTCTATGACTTACCTCAACTCTCATAAACTTATCTGCCAATACATTCCCGTTCAAGTACTGTACAGTACAGGATCTCCGCTCTTCCACTAGCCAAGTTTTAATTACTGATGTTCTACTTATTTGTATTTACTAAACTAACAACGGAAACTTAATTAAGGTGTAATGGAGTATAAAAGCTCACCTATCCAAGACTCCAAACGTGCACATGGCTGTGTTTTAACAATGTCAGGAGGATCCACTGGTATGTTGAGGCACAACACCAGAGCCACACTCACTGTCTTCATCTAAAAGGAAATAAAGCCAAGTTGTACTTAGTATTCTATTATTATAGGTACTTTTTACTTGTGCTGAGTAATTCTCTTCTTGCACATGAAAACAGCAATAAGACACAAAGAATTACAGCACTGGAAAGGTCTCAAAAATAAGAAAACTTTAAGATTTGTGAAATCATAAAGAAATTTCAGAGCCAGTTAAAAATATAGTCAATTAAAAGATACCATATCTCAAAATGAATAATGAAATACAGTACAAGATACTAAAATTTGAGGCGAAATCATGGGATGAGCATGTTAGTAAGTTTATTCAGGTACAGGTACACATAAATACAGTTACATAAATTATCATATATAGCAGCATATGTGTAGATTACCTAGGACGGGTGGGCAACCTTTTTAAGTGTGCATGCCAAAGTCGGCCATATCTCTGATACAAAATCTCTGGAAACACATGGGAACTATTTCCCGGCTTTTCTTGGAATGGATAAGTGATAAATGTCGCATTTTTTTGTGTTTTTAAGACGAGACCAGAGGTTAGCGTGCCGGAAAGAAGTCGTTGGCGTGTCAGGTTTGGCACGCGTGCTAAAGGTTGTCCACCCCTGACCTAGGATAACCCCCCAAAAAAAAAAGATAAATTTACTTATTTCCATTGGGGTCCTTGTAATAACTTATCATTTAAACCTTAGAAGTTATAATAGGTAAGTAACTCAACTAGGTGAAGAGGAGTTGCAATAAAAGGAGATATACTAGGAATAAGGTAAACTGGGTTATTTACATTAACATTAAAGAGAGGATCAGATCACAGTAATAGGTACATGTATGTTAGCTATACAAGAAATCATTCTCCTCCCTTTCTGTAGCTACATTCATTAGGTACCTTTTGGCTCTCTTCTTGAACTGGCTCATGCTATGACTGGCTTTGACATGTGCAGGTAGTTCATTCCACTCCTTTACTGTTGTACAATAAAATGTGTTTGAAGCCTGACCACTGACTGTAGGTACTATAAAGTTGTGTTCCCTTACCCTTGTACTATACTTGCATCGGTTCCCAGCCTTGATAAACTTAGCAGCAAGATATTCTGGACACTGAGTAATTTTATAAACATGATTTAACTTCAGTTGTTTTACTCTGTCTTCAACATTCAGCATATCCAGTTGTTGTAATTCATCCTGGCCTACATGCTCTCTTGGTCCCAGGTCCAGGATGAATCTCACCATTTTGTTCTGGGTGATTTGTAGTCTATCTTTCAGCTTTTTTGTTAAGGCAGAGTACCATGAAGAGAAAGAGTAATCTATATGGCATTGTATAAAGAGATAGACAGGATCCTGTGAGCCTAAGTAGGTAGACACTGTGCCTGTCTGTTAAGGCTGAATGTTTTCAGTGATTATCATCACTGTAAAGTAACAACCACAAAAATAATTAATTAAACACTGAATCTTATGACAGTACATACATTAGATATCTCAGTAATTAAAACAGTTGCCCTTTCATATGACTATTGTTGTAATATAATTATTATTATTATTATTATCATCATCACTATTATTCTTGGAGGAAAGCTCAAAATCTAGAGAAGTCATACAGTGCTTAAAGCAAACCTTAAAAAAAATCCTTTCCATTCAACACAACCGATTATTTAATCAATATTCTTCTTATTTCTCTTGTGTCACTTGATTTTGCAAGGTGTAAATCTTAAACACTGTACAAACATTACACTGCTTGAAATACAATGATTGGCTACAGTGAAGACATAATTTATAACTACATTATAGGTGGACAGTGTAGGTTAGAGCAGGTAAGATTCATCAGGAAACAGGATACCTGGAGTTTACCTGGAGAGAGTTCCGGGGGTCAACTCCCCCGCAGCCCGGTCTGTGATCAGGCCTCATGGTGGATCAGAGCCTGATCAACCAGGCTGTTACTGCTGGCTGCACGCAATCCAACGTACGAGCCACAGCCCGGCTGGTCAGGTACCAACTTTAGGTGCTTGTCCAGTGCCTGCTTGAAGACAGCCAGGGGTCTATTGGTAATCCCCCTTATGTATGCTGGAAGGCAGACGAACAGTCTCGGGCCCCTGACACTTATTGTATTGTCTCTTAACGTGCTAGTGACACCCCTGCTTTTCATTGGGGGGATGTTGCATCGTCCGCAGAGTCTTTTGCTTTCATTGTGAGTGATTTTCGTGTGCAAGTTCAGTACTAGTCCCTCTAGGAATTTCCAGGTGTATATAATCATGTATCTCTCCTGCCTGCGTTCCAGGGAATCCAGGTTCAGGAACTTCAAGCGCTCCCAGTAATTGAGGTGTTTTATCTCCATTATGCGTGCCATGAAGGTTCTCTGTACATTTTCTAGGTCAGCAATTTCACCTGCCTTGAAAGGTGCTGTTAGTGTGCAGCAATATTCCAGCCTAGATAGAACAAGTGACCTGAAGAGTGTTATTATGGGCTTGGCATCCCTAGTTTTGAAGGTTTCATTATCCATCCTGTCATTTTTCTAGCAGATGGGATTGATACAATGTTAGGGTCCTTGAAGGTGAGATCCTCCAACATGATCACTCCCAGGTCTTTGACGTTGGTTTTTCGCTTTATTTCGTGGCCGGAATTTGTTTTGTACTCTGATGAAGTTTTAATTTCCTCATGTTTACCATATCGTGTAATTGAAATTTCTCATCGTTGACCCTCATATTGTTTTCTGCAGCCCATTGAAAGATTTGGTTGATGTCTGCCTGGAGCCTTGCAGTGTCTGCAATGGAAGACACTGTCATGCAGATTCGGGTGTCATCTGTAAAGGAAGACACGGTGCTGTGGCTGACATCCTTGTCTATGTCGGATATGAGGATGAGAAACAAGATAGGATAAGTACTTCCTGATGTGGGTTTTAGTCAAATGATGACCCTCAGCTGGAGCTTTTGGTCATCTGGCCAAGGCTTTCTACCGGCTTACCCCTCCACCCTTTTAATAATTAAATTTATAATTATGAGTCAAGGTAGTATCTAATTATAAAATAAGTATTCTTCTAGTGAGAAGTGACTTAAAATCTGTATAATGAAAGGCACAGAATACTTGATAAAAAGCAATTACAATAAATAAGTTTATTTAGGTCCAGGCATACATAAATAATTACACAAATTATCATACATAGTAACATATGCAGCACAACCACTGTGAAAGATAGTGAACTTCCGAAGTTCACCATTTCTTCACAGTGTGTTGTTCTGCATATTGTGATATCACCTGTTTACTGTGATGTTATTGCATAATAACATATATATAAAACTACCCAGCATAACCCAAAAAAAAAGGTAGGCAAAGTAACTTATATCCATTACAATCATGAATGACACGAGATACACACCTAATTCCCCATATCTCGCAAGTTACAACCAAAGACACATCACCACAAGATGCAAAAATGACGATAAAACAAGCTGACAAACCCCAAAACCAAAATTAAACCACGAAAAAGGACAGATATATAGCGTAAGTCTACTTACTCTTTCCTTGAGCCTCCATGAATGAGCTGCTGTGTTGGGTGCTGTGATACTCTCTAAATGACGAGCTTCTGTCAGCACAGTAACAGCTTCCTCTTCTTCCTCCTCCTCCCCAGCAAGCCGGGAAACCTCCGTACCTTCCACCATAATGAATAAACCCCCAGGGAAGGCTCAATACTCCATTGTTATGCAAGTAATGTGAGGCAGCAGCAGCAGGAGTCGTGGTCGAGCTGGTCAGTGTTTACATGCTGATGATCCCGGGGACTACCACACTATATTATCTTAATATTAAGTAACTTAGTAAGTAAGTAAAGTAATTGAGTACTTAACTAAATAAATAAGTAATTATGTAAGTAAGTAAAGCAAGTAAGTAAAGCAAGCAAGTTAGTAAAGCAAGAAAGTAAAGCAATCGAGTTAGTAAGTAAAGCAAGTAAGTCAGTAGAGCAAGTAAGTAAAGTAAGCTTATTTAGATACAGGTACACATAATTAAAGTTATACATATATATATAGGTGGCTATAATTACCATACATAGTAACGTATTTGTAAATTACTCAGCAGGATAACCCAAAAAAAGTCAGACACGGGGACTTATTTCCATTGTGGTCTCTGTAATATCTTATTTAAAACCAAGCTGTAAAATACGGTAGAAATCAGGCATGGTTATAGCCTCCTCTTCCTTGGATCGAACTTATATGCTTCCCGTTCCTCCAGGAGCTGTATAATCCCTGCGGATTTGGTGTTTTCCATGATTATACAAATAAAAATCAATGTTTCTAGAGTACTATGTTTGCTATATTCTTATTTTATGTTTAAATTAACATCCCTCAGCTTGATAAATTACAAACATGTGCAACACTTGGGTATTTTTCTTGTGGCAACGTTTCTCCACACACTGGCTTCAACAGTCAGTTTGTTCAAGACTGAGGGACTGATAAGATAAGATTTCGTTCGGATTTTTAACCCCGGAGGGTTAACCACCCAGGATAACCCAAGAAAGTCAGTGGGTCATCGAGGACTGTCTAACTTATTTCCATTGGGGTCCTTAATCTTGTCCCCCAGGATGCGACCCACACCAGTCAACTAACACCCAGGTACCTATTTGCTGCTAGGTGAACAGGACAATAGGTGTAAGGAAATGTGTCGAAATGTTTCCACAAGCCGGGAATCGAACCCGGGCCATCAGTGTGTGAAGCGGGAGCTTTAGCCACCAGGCCACCGGGCCACACATTGACTCCAGGCTGAGGGACTGATTATATCGACTACAGGCTGAGGGACTGATTACATCGACTCCAGGCTGAGGGACTGATTACATCGACTCCAGGCTGAGGGATTGATTACATCGACTCTAGGCTGAGGGACTGATTACATCAACTCCAGGCTGAGGGGCTGATTTTCATCTACTCCAGGGTGAGGGACTGATTACATCGACTCCAGGCTGAGGGACTGATTACATCGACTCCAGGCTGAGGGACTGGTTACATCGACTCCAGGCTGAGGGACTGATTATATCGACTCCAGGCTGAGGGACTGCTTACATCGACTCCAGGCTGAGGGACTGATTACATCGACTCCAGGCTGAGGAACTGATTACATCGGCTCCAGGCTGAGGGACTGATTACATCGACTCCAGGCTGAGGGACTGATTACATCGATCCGGCTGAGGGACTGATTACATCGATTCCCGGCTGAGGGACTGATTACATCGACTCCAGGCTGAGGGACTGATTACATCGACTCCAGGCTGAGGGACTGATTACATCGACTCCAGGCTGAGGGACTGATTATATCGACTCCAGGCCGAGGGACTGATTACATCGACTCCAGGCTGAGGGACTGATTACATCGACTCCAGGCTGAGGGACTGATTACATCGACTCCAGGCTGAGGGACTGATTACATCGACTCCAGGCTTTAGGGACTGATTACATCGATTCCAGGCTGAGGACTGATTACATCAACTCCAGGCTGAGGGACTGATTACATCGACTCCAGGCTGAGGGACTGATTACATCGACTCCAGGCGAGGACTGATTACATCGACTTCAGGCTGAGGGACTGATTACATCGACCCCCAGGCTGAGGGACTGATTACATCGACTCCAGGCTGAGGGGCTGATTACATCGACTCCAGGCTGAGGGACTGATTACATCGACTCCAGGTGAGGGACTGATTACATCGACTCCAGCTGAGGGACTGATTACATCGACTCCAGGCTGAGGGACTGATTACAGACTCCAGGCTGAGGGACTGATTACCTCGACTCCAGGCTGAGGGACTGATTACATCGACTCCAGGCTGAGGGGGCTGATTACATCGATTCCAGGCTGAGGGACTGATTACATCGACTCCAGGCTGAGGGACTGATTACATCGACTCCAGGCTGAGGGACTGATTACATCGACTCCAGGCTGAGGGACTGATTACATCGACTCCCGGCTGAGGGACGATTTCATCGACTCCAGGCTGAGAGATGATTACATCGAAATCCAGGCTGAGGGACTGATTACATCGACTCCAGGCGAGGGACTGATTACATCGACTCAAGGGGTGAGGGACTGATTACATCGACTCAAGGCTGAGGGACTGATTACATCGACTCCAGGTGAGGGACTAATTACATCAACTCCAGGCTGAGGGACTGATTACATCGACTCCAGGGTGAGGGACTGTTACATCAACTCCAGGCTGAGGGACGATTACATCGACTTCAGGCTGAGGGACGATTACATCGACTCCAGGCTGAGGGACTGATTAAAATCGACTCCAGGCCCGAGGGACTGATTACATCGACTCCAGGCTGAGGGACAGATTACATCTACTCCAGGCTGAGGGACTGATTCATCGACTCCAGGCTTTAGGGACTGATTACATCGACTCCAGGCTGAGGACTGATTACATCGACTCCAGGCTGAGGGACTGATTACATCGACTCCAGGCTGAGGGACTGATTACATCAACTCCAGGCTGAGGGCCGATTACATCGACTCCAGGCTGAGGGGCTGATTACATCAACTCCAGGCTGAGGGACTGATTACATCGACTCCAGGCTGAGGGACTAATTACATCGACTCCAGGCTGAGGACTGATTACATCAAAATCCAGGCTGAGGGGCTGATTACATCGAATCCAGGCTGAGGGACTGATTACATCGACTCCAGGCTGAGGGACTGATTACATCGACTCCAGGCTGAGGGACTGATTACATCGACTCCAGGCTGAGGACTGATTACATCGATTCCAGGCTGAGGGACTGATTACATCGACTCCAGGCCCGAGGGACTGATTACATCGACTCCAGGCTGAGGGAGTGAATTACATCCACTCCAGGCTGAGGGACTGATTATATCGACTCCAGGCTGAGGGGGCTGATTACATCGACACCAGGGTGAGGGACTGATACATCGACTCCAGGCTGAGGGGTGATTACATCAACTCCAGGGTGAGGGACTGATTACATCGAACCAGGCTGAGGGGACGATTGCATCGACTCCAGGCTGAGGGACTGATTACATCGACTTCAGGCTGAGGGACTGATTACATCGACTCCAGGCTGAGGGACTGATTACATCGACTCCAGGCTGAGGGACTGATTACATCGACTCCAGGCTGAGGGACTGATTACATCGACTCCAGGCTGAGGGACTGATTACATCGACTCCTGGAGTTTACCTGGAGAGAGTTCCGGGGGTCAACGCCCCGCGGCCCGGTCTGAGACCAGGCCTCTGGTGGATCAGAGCCTGATCAACCAGGCTGTTGCTGCTGGCTGCACGCAAACCAACATACGAGCCACAGCCCGGCTGATCCGGAACTGACTTTAGGTGCTTGTCCAGTGCCAGCTTGAAGACTGCCAGGGGTCTGTTGGTAATCCCCCTTATGTGTGCTGGGAGGCAGTTGAACAGTCTGGGCCCCTGACACTTATTGTATGGTCTCTTAACGTGCTAGTGACACCCGCTTTTCATTGGGGGGATGGTGCATCGTCTGCCAAGTCTTTTGCTTTCGTAGTGGGTGATTTTCGTGTGCAAGTTCGGTACTAGTCCCTCTAGGATTTTCCAGGTGTATATAATCATGTATCTCCCTCCTGCGTTCCAGGGAATACAGGTTTAGGAACCTCAAGCGCTCCCAATAATTGAGGTGTTTTATCTCCGTTATGCGCGCCGTTGAAAGTTCTCTGTACATTTTCTAGGTCGGCAATTTCACCTGCCTTGAAAGGTGCTGTTAGTGTGCAGCAATATTCCAGCCTAGATAGAACAAGTGACCTGAAGAGTGTCATCATGGGCTTGGCCTCCCTAGTTTTGAAGGTTCTCATTATCCATCCTGTCATTTTCTAGCAGATGCGATTGATACAATGTTATGGTCCTTGAAGGTGAGATCCTCCGACATGATCACTCCCAGGTCTTTGACGTTGGTGTTTCGCTCTATTTTGTGGCCAGAATTTGTTTTGTACTCTGATGAAGATTTAATTTCCTCATGTTTACCATATCTGAGTATTGAAATTTCTCATCGTTGAACTTCATATTGTTTTCTGCAGCCCACTGAAAGATTTGGTTGATGTCTGCCGGAGCTTTGCAGTGTCTGCAATGGAAGACACTGTCATGCAGATTCGGGTGTCATCTGCAAAGGAAGACACGGTGCTGTGGCTGACATCCTTGTCATATGTCGGATATAAGGATGAGGAACAAGATGGGAGCGAGTACTGTGCTTGTGGAACAGAGCTTTTCACCGTAGCTGCCTCGGACTTTACTCTGTTGACGACTACTCTCTGTGTTTGTTAGTGAGGAAATTATAGATCCATCGACCGACTTTTCCTGTTATTGCTTTAGCACGCATTTTGTGCGCTATTACGCCATGGTCACACTTGTCGAAGGCTTTGCAAAGTCTGTATATATTACATCTGCATTCTTTTTGTCTTCTAGTGCATTAGGACCTTGTCGTAGTGGTCCAATAGCTGGAGACAGACAGGAGCGACCTGTTCTAAACCCTGTTGCCCTGGGTTGTGTAACTGATGGGTTTCTAGATGCGTGGTGATCTTGCTTCTTAGGACCCTTTCAAAGATTTTTTATGATATGGGATGTTAGTGCTATTGGTCTGTAGTTCTTTGCTGTTGCTTTACTGCCCCCTTTGTGGAGTGGGGCTATGTCTGTTGTTTTTAGTAACTGTGGGACGACCCCCGTGTCCATGCTCCCTCTCCATAGGATGGAAAAGGCTCGTGATAGGGGCTTCTTGCAGTTCTTGATG